GCATAAACACATTTCATTACACCAAATACACAAAATAATATTCTTTTTAGCAACATGATATGACCCCTTTAAGGACGTGATGTGGGTCAATGACAAATCACACAGAGTCCCCAATATATAATTTCTATAATAATCTATCATTTTTATAATTTTATAATAAAATCTAGTTAAAAGCATGTACCAAGTTTTTAGAGATGTTGTCACTGTATTCATAAGGTTTTGAAAATAATTTAGACCAATTTAGACCATTATCAAAAAAAGTTGGAATTTAATGAAAGTAAAAAGCCTCAAATTACATCTTGAATATCAGTCATGATCATTATTTAAAAAAAAAAATTGTTTTCAAAATGATTTCTAAAGTTATTTTTTTTATATTATTATGCATATAATTATCATAACATTTTACACCTCAAATCAATCTTGTCTTCTCCAAAAAGTTAAATAAGGACAGTTGCATCTGACATTTTGCACTTTATCTTTACACAGAAACAAACCAACCAACTAAGAAAGAAAGAAAGAAAGAATAGATCCAGTCAAAAGTCCTTGACGGATCGGATAATTGTATTCCCTATGCCAGACACAAACTTGCATCTACCACATGAGCGCCACAACTCCGACATGTCAAGTGCACAGGCTCTACCTGACAGATATCACTGAAATAGGTGTCCTGAGGAATCACTAGTGGTGGAAAGAGTACTAAGAAACTGTACTTAAGTAAAAGTATAGCTACTTAAGGAATAATTTACTTGAGTAAAAGTACTGACAAATAATATGACTCAAGTAAGAGTAAAAAAGTAGTTTGCTGAAAAGCTACTCAAGTTACTGCGTTACAAAGTTAATTTTATTTTATTTTTTTACCCAAAATGAGACGATGTGAGCATTATGGAGCAGGGTTAACCCTAATCCTAACACTCATGCACTTTAATGTCTGTTTCACAAGTGAGACCCAGGAAATCCGTTATATGGACAATACAGCTACAGCTGAATAACATGCAGATAGAGACACTTTCACTGATGAAACGTGGAAGACAATAAACACACAATTGCAATGCAATGCTAATTGACATAGCTTGTATCACAGTAAATATTTTTATTTTTTATTTTTTTCTGTCTCACTGTTATAAGAAGCAACATGGAACCACAGAAGCTAACTGTTTTAAACACAGCTGATTTTATATAGTGATTTTGGAGCAAAACGTGATATTAGTCTCATAAATTGTCATGTTTGATGCTATGTTAAGCAAACATACCGCCTATCCCTGTTGCCAGGAGCAACTGTTTTATAACTAATTTTGAAAAGTACATTCACGTATACGATTATGTGGTTGTTTTTAAGAAGGGCAAAAGCAAAGAAGGGTAAGTGAAGGTTTAAAAGAAACGTAAGGGTCTAAAACAGTGTGAATAGAAAGGTGCCAGAAAAAAATAATGTGGGGTATGGGTAAGGTTGGGCATCTTTTGATTTTTAATGAATCGAATTCTTGTCAATTCCTAATTTCGATTCCAATAATAAGGTAAAAATTAAATTAAAAATCTTAGATATCATCTTATTGCAAAATATTTAATAGTTAGCTGAATACTATGAATGAAAGTTCATATTCCTTTGTACGCATTTTAATATGACTTTAAACCATTCAAGCACAAGAAGACTTGTGCACTGTTTTCTGTACTGCACACATAGGGGCGTAGCCATCATTTCAGAAATGAGGGGGACAGAAATGTAAAATAAAAACTTTTGACTTTTGTGTAATTGACAGGCTTTAATTTTTTTCTTATGTCTTTTAATTGCCTAAGAAATCAAATATACTGCTGGACGATAACCAAGCATTTGTTTTCTATAATATTTTTTTCTTTGTTTTCCTAATGACAATTTTAGGATTGGCTTATACAAACACATAATAAGGCAGAATAGTTTCTATATTGTAATAAATGTTATGTCAATTAGCACTGCATTATTCATATACTATATTTATTACCTGGAATCTCCTTTTGTTTTTAGCTACAGCCTTAGCTAGATGCCTTTGTCCATATTAGGGATTTCCTGAATTATATATTACTTGAAGTGGGCCGTTTTGGACTTTCTGCGCTAGAGCGCCCTCCGGCTTAGAGTATGAATGAAACATGCACTGCATGTTCACATCGTCTTGTTTTGGATATGAATATATCGTATGGTCATACATAGACTATCTCGTTTCTTCGCCCATGTGCACACACATCCAAAGCATGCACACAGAAAAAGTTTAGATTAGATTTAAGGACAATGAAACGTGGAAGACAATAAACACACAATTGCAATGCAATGCTAATTGACATAGCTTGTATCACAGTAAATATTTTTATTTTTTATTTTTTTCTGTCTCACTGTTATAAGAAGCAACATGGAACCACAGAAGCTAACTGTTTTAAACACAGCTGATTTTATATAGTGATTTTGGAGCAAAACGTGATATTAGTCTCATAAATTGTCATGTTTGATGCTATGTTAAGCAAACATACCGCCTATCCCTGTTGCCAGGAGCAACTGTTTTATAACTAATTTTGAAAAGTACATTCACGTATAAGATTATGTGGTTGTTTTTAAGAAGGGCAAAAGCAAAGAAGGGTAAGTGAAGGTTTAAAAGAAACGTAAGGGTCTAAAACAGTGTGAATAGAAAGGTGCCAGAAAAAAATAATGTGGGGTATGGGTAAGGTTGGGCATCTTTTGATTTTTAATGAATCGAATTCTTGTCAATTCCTAATTTCGATTCCAATAATAAGGTAAAAATTAAATTAAAAATCTTAGATATCATCTTATTGCAAAATATTTAATAGTTAGCTGAATACTATGAATGAAAGTTCATATTCCTTTGTACGCATTTTAATATGACTTTAAACCATTCAAGCACAAGAAGACTTGTGCACTGTTTTCTGTACTGCACACATAGGGGCGTAGCCATCATTTCAGAAATGAGGGGGACAGAAATGTAAAAAAAAAAACTTTTGACTTTTGTGTAATTGACAGGCTTTAATTTTTTTCTTATGTCTTTTAATTGCCTAAGAAATCAAATATACTGCTGGACGATAACCAAGCATTTGTTTTCTATAATATTTTTTTCTTTGTTTTCCTAATGACAATTTTAGGATTGGCTTATACAAACACATAATAAGGCAGAATAGTTTCTATATTGTAATAAATGTTATGTCAATTAGCACTGCATTATTCATATACTATATTTATTACCTGGAATCTCCTTTTGTTTTTAGCTACAGCCTTAGCTAGATGCCTTTGTCCATATTAGGGATTTCCTGAATTATATATTACTTGAAGTGGGCCGTTTTGGACTTTCTGCGCTAGAGCGCCCTCCGGCTTAGAGTATGAATGAAACATGCACTGCATGTTCACATCGTCTTGTTTTGGATATGAAAGCCAGGGCCCTGACTTAAACCCAATTGAGCATCTCTGGAGAGACCTAAAAATGGCTGTCCACCAACGTTTACCATCCAACCTGACAGAACTGGAGAGGATCTGCAAGGGGGAATGGCAGAGGATCCCCAAATCCAGGTGTGAAGAACTTGTTGCATCTTTCCCAAAAAGACTCCTGGCTGTATTAGATCAAAAGGGTGTTTCTACTAAATACTGAGCAAAGGGTCTGAATACTTAGGACCATGTGTTATTTCAGTTTTTCTTTTTTAATAAATCTGCATAAATGTCAACAATTCTGTGTTTTTCTGTCAATATGGGGTGCTGTGTGTACATTAATGAGGAAAAAAAATTAACTTAAATGATTTTAGCAAATGGCTGCAATATAACAAAGAGTGAAAAATTTAAGGGGGTCTGAATACTTTCCGTACCCACTGTATATATATATATATATATACACACAAATATAATTTGCAGACAATTTTGCTTTCACTGTGAATTGCTTTAAATTGGAATAAGAGATACAGTGGGAGTGACTTTATTTCCATCAGATATATTTATGTCACTTTGCGCAAAGCTTATTGGTCCAGTTTTTTATTTTATTTTTGCAATCTCTAACCAGAATTAAACCAATCCACCCCCCCCCACCCCCCACCAGCTTCCTGAAATAG